TGCCTCCCATGACTCCACTTTCCACAGGTTTAATGGCCTGAGCACACGAGTGAAATTTGGGCAGAAGGAAAGCATGTTGTAAATGTTATGGATACATCTTTTAGACCAATGATGGGCAAATTTGGCCATTTCCTGCAGAAATTTGATCCAACCCTGATAAAACTCACATGCCTGTAGCTTTCTAGTACACTCTTAAAAATAAAGGTGCTTCACGATGCCATAGAATAACCTTTTTGTCTAAATGGTTCCATAAAGAACCTTTAACATCTGAAGAACCTTTTTGTTTCACAAAAGGGGCGTTCTTTGGGAGGTTCTTCGGTTCTTCAGATTATAAAAAGATAAGAAAGAGATGGTTCTTTAAAGAACCTTTGACTGAATGGTTCTTTGAAAATGGTTTAATGGTTTTTCTATGGCATCGCTTGAAGAACCTTTTGAAGCACCTTTATTTTTAAGAGTGTAGTCTTGAAGACAATGATTAGCTGGTTCAGGTGTGTTTGATTAGAGTTGGAGCTAAACTCTGAAGGAAAGTGACCTGGAAGGGCCAAGTTTGCCCACCCCTGATCTAGACCAATAGTAATTTTTCCAACTAAAGTCTATTTTACAAGGTACACAGCAACTTATTAATAATGTTAATAAAGAATATGTGGCCATTGATCAGTAAATTGCAGAGACATAAGAATGATCTGAAAAGTAGAGTAAGCAGCATTTTATAAACATTATCATGTTGACTCATGAATATTCATGGGCAGTTTTGTAATAGCAAGGTTGAGTTGAAGGTGATGCTCTTTCATTCTCTACCTTCAACTCAACCTTGCTAAGACAGAAATGCTCATGGTCTCAGCAAACCCAGCATTTCATCACAACTTCTTTATACTGCTGGACTCATCAACCATAACTCCTTCCAGGACAGCCAGGAACCTTGGAGTTGTGATAGATGATCAGTTAAGCTTCACAGACCATATTGCTACAAAGGCCCGGTCCTGCAGATTTGCCTTATACAACATTAGGAAGATTAGACCCTTCCTATCAGAACAAGCTGTGCAACTCCTTGCTCCTTGTCCAAGCTCTTGTTCTCTCCAGACTGGACTTTTGTAATGCTCTCTTGGCGGGCCTTCCCGCATGTACTATCAAGCCTCTGCAACTGATCCAGAATGCAGCAGCGAGAGTGGTCTTTAACGAGCCGAAAAAAGCTCACGTTACACCTCTCTTCATCAGTTTACACTGGCTACCAGTAGCTGCTCGCATCAAATTCAAAGTACTGATGTTTGCCTACAAGACAACAACTGGAACTGCACCAATATACCTTAACTCGTTCAAACTTATGCGCCCTCCAGAAGCTTGCGTTCTGCAAGTGAACTACGCCTTGTGGTCCCATCCCAAAGAGGCACAAAATCACTATCACGGACCTTTTCCTGGACTGTGCCCAGCTGGTGGAATGACCTCCCTATCTCAATTCGAACAGCTGAGTCTTTGGCCATTCTCAAAAAACGTCTAAAGACACATATTTTTCGCCAGCACCTGACGAACTAATACTAGCACTTACCTATTATATTCGATTCGATTCTGTTCTATTCTATTCCATTCTATAAAAAAAAATAGCTATGTGTACTGTGCTAGACTAACTGAGACTTTTCACAGCACTTGTATACTTTTGCTCTCTTGTACGTCTGTTTGCTTCTATTGTTCTCCTCATTTGTAAGTTGCTTTGGATAAAAGCATCTGCTAAATGATTAAATGTAATGCAATGTTACAAGACTACTGCTTACTATGGTAGCACTTTAGTCTTTTTGTATATGTACATACTATGTTATTACTACAGTAATAACAATAACTAGGTAATAACTACTGACTCTAACCCTAACCTTAACTCAAGTCCATGTCATTACCTTATATCACTCAGTACTTACTGCAGAACAGTGGTTTTCAAACTTTTTTATTTTATTTTTAAATTGCATGGATGAGCTTCAGAAGAATAAAGGGAGAAGTAATGACAGTCAGTGTTGTCAAGTGAGCAGTTTTAGTGTGGAGTTGGGCTACTTTTACACTGTTACTGTGGGTTAACGCTATCTCCCTGAAACAAAATGTAAATTGCGGTAAAAACATGATTGGGCTAGTTTTGGACTACTTTGATAAGCGATTGGGCTGGTTTGTTTTGCAGACCTGGCAACCATTGAAAGGCGAGAGAGGACCAGACCTGGGACATTACACTGATATTGTTTACATTTATGCAGGTATAAAAACATGTGAGTCTAAAGCATTTAGCTGATGGGATTTGTAAATTTTTGTTATTTAGAATTAGCAGTTATTTTAGCTATATATATACGACCAACCAAAACCCTCTTTTGGCATTAAAAAAACTACTGTCAGGATTTATTAAAAACACACAGTGAAATATTAGTGCTGAAAAGGCATGGACACAGTTATTTTTGTGGCTGACCTTATTGCATATGCATTTGTAGGATTGTCCCTTCCAGGTGCAAAACTTATGGGAGAAGAATATTTAAGTGAAACCCAATATGATCTCATAAGGTTTGCAGTATTCAATTCACTGGTAACTGCGCCCTTTTTTACCGCCTAAAAAGCAAGTCTTAAACCCGACATTAATCATCATGGAAATGATCTGGCTGCGTCTTGTCTTATTTAATGTGTGCACTGTCAGTAGAACAAGCACAGAACTTTCCACTTCCATCTGTGCTTTTATGGGAGTGTGCTCTCACGCTAATTTGCCCTGTTTAGTAAATATGGCTCTTAATGTTGTAAATATTGTTTCTACCATTGTTATAAATTACTTTGTGAATATATTTAAAGTCTTTGAGTGTACTCAACTCTAGTTTATAGTGCAAACCAAATGAAACTCTTATTTTTATAGAGAAATAATCTTAAAACAACAGAAGCAAAACAAATTATTGTTGCTTCTTAAACAGTAAATAAATGTCACTCAAATTTTCTCAGTTTTGACATTGACATTTTGACGTGATGTATGCATCTGAACCTCAGTGCAGACCAGCATTACGCTCTGTTGAGTTTTGAAGCACTATGTCTGTGCCCCGATCCCCAGCCCCCTATTTCCCTTCAACTGCAATCTGACACATGCATGCACTCTGCAGAGGTGGGGGATCGTGTGCCGTGACACACATCGTCTGTCAGAGAACGCGTGCGTGTGTGTGTGTGTGTGTGTGTTCTGGACTGGCCTCTGCCCCATGCTGACATTCCCAGCCACCATCGATGAGCCCCAGATGTGGCAGCTGGTTCAGCCACCCTAAGGTTCAAGGGCAGAGGAAACCATGTCAAATTTGCCACCCACATCTTAGTCTGATGGTGAGATAAGGAGAGAGTGTCAGAAATTGATCTGTGAAAGTTTGCATGCCGTGAGATTAGAGAAAAGGTAAGGGGACATTTGAGAAATGGTTATGTAAAGTACTAGAAAAAATGGAAGTGTGCACCTTCATGGGGAGGTTGATAACAATTGCCTGCTGGAAAAAGAACAAAAGCAGCCTTAGTTGCCATCGCAGTCTTAAAGAGCTGGTTAAGTTGGACTGTTTGATGGTTTTAGAGGGTTTGGGGGCACTTGTTAGCTGGTCAGGATGGAAAAACAGCCTGGTCAGTAAACCACCTTACGGTTTTTTCAGCAAGGTTAGCAAAAGCCAGAAAAATGAATGTGTCTTAGACGAGAGGGAAGGCATACGGTTGGACAGGAAATGCCATGCAGGGCATTGACGGCTGGTTTTGATATGTGTCCGGTTCATGCTTGTAAAAGCTTCACAGGTAAGTAGCTCTGGAAAAACTAAGTGTTGCTCACACAAACATGTTTTGTTTTAATTACTTTGTAATACATGCCATTTCCATCTGGAGAACTGTACTCTCACACTACAAAAAGCTTTTCTTCATCAGTATTGTTCTCATTAGCCAGCAGCATATCTAAACATCCTTGCATTTGTTTTAGAAGCACAAACTAGTGAGAGAATGAGACCAGGTTTGTTACCATTAATAATGAAATAATAATAAATCAAAATATAAATATTAGATAAAAACGTATACTTAAAAAATAGAAATGTTGCCATTTGAACTAGATGAAATAAAGTTTAAGTAAATAGATATATAAATGAATGAATGAATGCATGAATGAATGAATGAAAGGTATATAGGAATATAAAATATACAGAAGCACAAAATTGCTGAAACTTAAAGTAAACAAATGAGTTCAAATAAAACTGAAAATATAAAAAGCTTATTAAAAATATTTATATTAAAATAGTATATAAAGTATATAAATGATACTAAAATAACACCAAATTAAGAATATTTTGTTAGATGTGTGCCTAAATTTAATTCAAGATATATTCTTTAAAATGTAGTTGTATGAACTTGATACTAGTTTAAGGATAAAGTAAATCTGTCTTGCTTTAGTGATGTTATTATTATTATTATTATCATTATTATTTTATGATTTAAAAGAACAATACAAAATTATTGATTTAAAATAAATATGTATAAGTAAACTTAAGCTAAATTAATTAAATGAAAGGATTAAACTCTATGAGTTGTTTTTGTTTGTTCATTTATTTAGTTATTTTATTTGGGTGCCTTACATGTCTAACATGATATTGTGGTTGTTTCTGATATAAAATAGTACATTTTTATGTAGCTCTCTGTAATACTTTATGCTGATTATAATATTCTAATATTCACTGTCATCCATGTACAACTGTGTATCAGTCCATTCCTCCACACTGTTAGACTTTTTATTGTATTTTTGCGGTAACTAACTGGCAGCACTTTTGCCAGTAGAATGAATTAAGAGCTTGTGAATCAAATGGAATTATGAAATCTCTATCAATCCCCAACCCAACATATGAGTGATCATATAAAAAAAAAAAAAAATATATATATATATATGTATATCAAAACATCTCTTTAATTATTATTATATTAAAATATTTCTTTCATAGCTGCAGTTAATCTAATGTCACACACTGTGTCTGATAGTTAAAACATACTTACAAAGCCAAAGATGCTCAGTGCTGTGGCTCCTAAAATAGCCTTTGGGGTGTAGTTAGCTCCTGTTGAAACAAGCAAAAGAGAGAAAAAGATTATTGACTAATCACTATATGTATGAACATGATAAATCATAGATCTAGAATGACTGCTAGATTGATCACTTACAAAATCAGATTACAATCAACACTGAAAAAAGAGAGAAGAGAATATATACAATAACATGTACAAAAAAAAAAATAATAATATGAAACGTAAAGGTGCTGTATGTAGGATTGACACCGAGTGGTTGAACTAGGTATTGCAGTCCAAATTCAAAATATTGGAGAGGGTTTTTTTTCACCCTGCCCCTCCTTCTCAGACTTGACGCACACAGCAGGTTGCCAGATTGACGACACCAACAGGAACGAGCGCACTTGACGATGAATGAAATGAAATACGCTGTGTTTTCTGCCAACTGGCAACCCGGGGTGCCGAAATACAATTCAAAGGATATTCAAAGGAGAATAACTGACTGTAGCATTCTTTTTCAGATAAACAAGTATGTTAACTTAGCATGTTTCTTAAATATCTACAAACATATTATGGTATTTTAATGCTTTAGTAGAGTCAAAAATTTACATACAGCACCTTTAAGAGAACACTGATTTTGATGAGACCTTGCTTCTATTAACAAACAAGAAGCCATAATAAAGAATGCATACTCTTGAAGAATACAGGACTATAACCAAAATGAATACTAAATCAAGGTACATAAATGGCTGTCATCAAATTCTCAGAAATATTTTAATCCAATTAAATCGAATGGAAACTGGAATCAGAATAAGAAAATAAGAATAACTGTGAATCAAACTGAATTGAATCAAGATCAGAAATGAATTAAGAGCTTGTGACTCAAATGGAATTATGAAATCTCTATCAATCCCCAACCCAACATATGAGTGATCATATCAAAAATAAAAATAACAACTTACAAAGCCAAAGGTGCCGTTATTCTAGGTGGCCCTTAAAAGAGTACTTCTATTAACAAACAAGAAGCCATAATAAAGAATGCATTTTCTTTCTTGAATTAATTTATTATAATTTTACTTGAATATATTTTTTTCCTCTGGTATATGCACTGGCATAAATGTTTCATTTACGAGAGAGAGAGCATGCGACATTTAAGCCTACCCATCTCGCACGAGAGAGAGAGCACGCTCGTGCTATTTCAAATAACGTCACACACATTTAACGGCATTCATTTAACTGAGGAGTAAAATATACCATAACTAGCAGTAAAAAAGTCGAAAAATAATTGTTCGTGTAAATACTACACATCTATACTGGAAAGGTCAGTATAGGCTAGTCACTATACTGTATAGTCACTATACTAATCAGTTGCAGGACAATTGAATGAGTTTCATGAAAGCGGCAGTTTTTGAGGAAAACAAACTTTTCCCTCAGACTGTCCTTAGAATTTACATTTACTTTCTTCATATTTTTTAATTTCATTGATATTGATAATGGTTTACATTTTAAAAGTAAGTGCTTACTTAAAGTACTTACCACAGGAAAACTCGCAGCTGACGTCTGGCGATTCACTCAGAAGGGAAGTCCGTTATGTGCGCACTCGACACAAGCCTCAGTTTATATAACCTCTGCAAGGTTGTTGCGCGGGCTTTGCGCGCGAATAAAATTTACATTTTGTGGGGTGTAAGCAAAGTTTATATATTTTATTTTTTAATCATTTTAAAAACGCATTTATTTCACCACACTTGTGCTTACCCAGACATTATATTGAGAATGCAGATTCATGTTTTTCATCTGCAGAACAATTTACAGTAGCACTACTGCTTTTGAGCAAACAGTAAAGTATGGCAAATTCCCATGTACAGTAAATTACTGTAAATGGCATTAAAATACCCATAATTCAGTGCATATTACAGTAGTTAACCGTAAAACATATATAGTTTACTGGGCTTTTTTGCGGTAAGTAACTGTAAAAT